ACGGTGAATCTCACGCCATGAGACGTACGGCTGAAAATGATTTAGACGCAAAAATGAGGGATATATTAAATGAGCGAGGGCTTAATCCTTATGAAAAAATTAAAAAATATAACGCTCTGTTACAAAGATACCTCACCCTGGTCAAACAAGGGGAGGAGGAACGTCGACTTTACCTAAAGACGGCGAGAGGCCTATCTCGCGACTCTGACGAGCCGGAAGAAAAACAAGATGAAAATGAAGAAAAGGACAAAAAAGAGGCAGGACTGGATGAGACGGCTCGCGAGGTACTGCAAAATCTTCCTCAGCGCGACCGCAAAAATGCCGAGTATATTATGAAGAAATTAGTCAAGAGCCAGGACAGGTGGACTCCCAAGGGTCAATTTATTCACTAGGGAAAGATTGTGAGAGGTTCGCATATGATTGACTTGTTTAAAAACAGTCTCTTATAAAAAGAAAACTCCAACGCCCAAGGGATGGACGGGGTTTTTGAATACTCTGACGGAGCTCAACATACCGATAAGCTCTGTGACCAATCCTTGCGCTCGCGCTCAATATTGTCGACTCAAAACCGTTTGAGGGTGGCGTGAAGGAGAGGAAGCAGAAGAAGAGGAAGAAGGAGAAGAGGGGGCCATAGCGCTGGTCGAGAGGGAGAAAGGAAAGCGGAAAAAAGAAGATTTAATTCCGTTTGCGGAGGAGGAGGAGGAGGAGGAGGAGGAGGAGGAATGGGTTACGCCGGTAAAAAGGAGTTGGATTAATTATACGGCGTGATAATTACTTTAATAAAAGAGTCATACAATAACAACATTGACATTTGTCTTGTCTTTTTTTTAATTCTTAAACAAGTTGCAACAATCTTTGAACATTTCTAGAGAACAGGCGGTGTGGTAAAAAGAATCTACTCGTTGAATCGTTGTACAACGTTGATATTTTTTCACAAACTTTGATACCATTTCATCATTTTTTACAATGTCGTCGTGATACAGAGACAGCACGCTCTCAAAAGGTAGCCTGCAGGCCCTATGACATAAATAATAAACACAATGCTGTCCGCAGGCGGTCGACGCGACGTCTTGAAGTTGTCTTTTCTGGTACAGTAATTTTTTCTTACAACGGCTTTTTAAAAATTGTAACACGGTTTTCAGGTAATAGACAAAGTCGGGCGGTGGTCCGAACGAGTCAAAAAAAGTGGCGCTCCCATCTTGGTCCAGAGTGAGCGCTAGCCAGTGTTCTCCGGGCTGATGACTAGGGTGCATGTTGACGATCATGTAGGGGGGACGTCTGAATGAGCACATCAGCGCCGGTAGTTGGTCTGAAGCCCACACGCCGCAAAACGCATCTCCCAGTAAATGTCGCATGACACCTTCCAATTGGTGGTTATTCATATTCTTTCTTTTCTTTCTTTCTTTCTTTTCTCAATAATAATCCACCAGCACTTGACGTTTGGAGTTGATCTCCAAAATACTCTCATAACACGCGTACACGATCAGAGTGGTTGTATGCGGCAGGGGAACTCTGAATCTCATTTCCAACCTCAAGTACCCATTGGAGACAGGGGACAAGCCATCTGCGTCTTTGGCCGCGTTGAGATTAAACACAAACAACGAGTACCCCTGGTTAAAATCCTCCCTGTCGATGCCCAGCGGCAAATCTTTCAGGTGTCTTCCCGTGGCCGTATACATGTTGTAAAACTCTCTGACTGACTGGCCTTGGTCAAATTGAGGCTGGAAAGCTTTGGCGGCCACCTGTCTGCCGTCCTGACAGAGGGCCAAGTATTCCACATCATTGTGAGCAAAGTTGAAGGGTGACAGGTCATTTTTTCCCGTAAAGGCTTCGTGGTTCACCATAGCCAACACTATATATTTCGGCATCGTGCCCAAAAAGAGATTTTCTTGATTACATACTCGAGTATTTTCCGGGATGGAGTACGTTTTCACGTTGATGTGGGACAAAGGATAGAGCGCGTTACCCCTCAACAGGGCCGCCGTGTGACCCAGACGCACTGTGGGGGAAACGGTCGTTTCCTTGACAAACAAAGAAGCGCCCGATATTTTTAATTTAAAATTAGCGTTAGCGGCTTGCATGAGACAGAAGGCGTCGCTAGTGGGGGTCGGTTTAATTCTCAGATCCACAGAGTTCAA